AGTTTAAAGGTTCGGCCTCGAGAAGATTAGGCGGATCGACTTTCATGATGAGTGGTTCGGGTTCGATTTATGGAAGTCCCAGTCCGAGGAAGAAGGTCAGTGGGTACAGTGCTGAAGAGAAATCGGAATTGAGTGAAGCGGCGAAAAGGAAGAGGGAAGCGAGGGATAAATTGAGAAGAGCAGTTAAGGGGGCTGGTGTTAAGGTCAAGCCTTTTGAGGATGAGTAAATGAGAGTCGAGAAGGTGGATGAGGGATGGACGTTTACTTTCTGTATGGCCTGGCATATGCTTTAAAGAGATATTCTGAGATGAGAAAAAGATGAGAGGAGGCGTTTATAATGTTTATGTTGATGGGATGGGATAGGGATGGATAATACTTCTAGGAACTTATTCATGCATGGATGGATATGAGAACGAAGAAGTTGCACGAGAATTTGATAGATGGATGTTTGTATGTAACAATACCATTACTGATACCAGTACCGCAATTAGTAGTTAGTGCCTCGTTTTAATGGATATAATTGAACGAGATTTACGAGTCAAAGGATTTGTATGTATCTAAATATTTTGGGGCCCTCCTTTTCCTTCGGCTAAAGAGTATGGGATAGGTACATGGGTCACATCATTAGATTCACGACCAGAAGACTATCAAGGAGCACCCAAAAACTCACGTACATATCACCTTAAAGCAAAGCGTCACATCACATAATCATGCCATCCACAAAACACAAACAAAGGATTCATAATCTGCTTTTTTTCCTACATGCTATCTATCCCAGCTGTCTAAACGCCATATTAAGATAAGAGATCATCAGCCAGAGGTTCTCGAATGTATTGATTCCATCAATTCCGATTTCATCTTGATCTGAGATCATATGAAACTTTTAGAAAAGATGCTCCATTCATTTCATAATGTATGATTCTCATGTTCTCATAAGAAAATTAGGGTTCGCACCATTCATGCACACCGAGTTGTCCAAAGGCTCTTAACCCCTTCGTTCTTCCGAGCCCTCGTCTATTCACCCAGAAACCAAACCCACTCATTGCTCATTTCGTCATTCGTGTATGCTAATGACCAAAATTCCAAGAAGCCCTTGCCTTGAAAATTTGAATGGGCCATGATGGTATCGCACTTGAGACCATGAAGAACAAGTATAGTGTATCATATAACCGACGAAAGATGCAAAAGAGGTTGATAAAAAAATCTCTGTATGAAGAAAGAAAAGTACGAAGAAAATCCCCAGGCCAAACGCCAATACTACTATGAATTTATTGAGAAGCACATTGGACACGTTCGCCACCTTGGCCATCTTCATCGTCCTCGTCCATGGCACCGGCGCCTGAGGCTCTAGCTTGTTGACTGGCATCGACGTCCTCGAGATCGGCAACTTCGGTCATCGCATCGGTAGGTGGTGTAATACCTTCTGGTGCGGGTGGAAGAATGGTCTTGAGGGCCTCGAACGCTGCAGGATCGGTGGTCCAGTTCTTCTCTGGGAATTTGACATCAAATTGGATGTACAAGTTTCCGTGATCGTGGTGACGATATGAAGGCATACCCTGGCCACGAATCATCTTGACACTTCCTACAAAAACTGTTAGACTAATTCAATGTGGGCGCGTTGGAATGCATTGCTTACCTGGGCTGATAACTTCTCCTGGAAGGATTTCAACGCTCAACCATCGTTCATCCAAATGTTCGACAAAGATAGTTCCACCAGCAAGGGCAGTCGAAAGATCAACTTCGGCGTGGAAAAACAAATCGTCGTCTTTGCGTTGGAAACGGTCGTGTGGTTTTTGCTCAATCTCAAAAACAACATCACCTGGTTGCACGCCTGGTGTTTGATCACCCTCGCCTCTGAAATCGATCTTGTGTCCACTGCGAACACCTCTGTCGACATGGACGTGCAAGACCTTTCTTTCCACAGTAGTCTTTTTACCATTGCAACCCTTGCACTTGTCCTTCTCGCGGATGATCTCTCCCTCTCCATTACAGTCAGGGCAGACAGTCTGGAAACGTTGGATCATGGGTCCCATCTGGCGCATCATTGTCTTCATACCGTGGCCGTCACATCCAGCACACTTCTTAACGGCACCTTCCTTTCCGCCTCTTCCCTCACACTTGGGGCAGATGACGGACTTCTGGAGAGCGAGTTTGGAGACTTTTCCGCGATAGATGTCCTCAAGTGAAACTTTGTGGACGTGATGAATGGTACGGGCCTTTGGTGGACCACGTTGTTGCATGCCACCACCACCACCGAACATACCACCGAATCCACCACCGCCAAATGCAGAACCGCCACCGAAGAATTGTGAGAATAAATCTTCGGCATTCATTCCACCGGCTCCTCCACCACCCTCCAAACCTTCTTCGCCATATTGATCATAGATTTGGCGCTTTTGGGGGTCCGAAAGAATTTCGTATGCTCTGGAGATTTCCTTGAATTTTTCCTCGGCGTCAGGGTTGTGTTGATTCTTGTCTATTGGTCGCATGTCAGAATCACGTCTCGGAAGTGAGATGAAGAAGAAAGGAACACCAAGAGTGAAGAATCTGGGGAATGACTAACCTGGGTGATGTTTCAGAGCCCCGACTTTGTATGCTTTCTTGAGTTCTGCCTCGGTGGCAGTTGGTGCAACCTATTTTTGGAGTTGAGCATTGTTCTCCGAATCACAGAGAGGAATGAAGCCTTACACTCAACAGATCGTATAACTTGGTATCCTTGACCATTTTGTATGTTGGTGTAGAGAAAAGATCTCTTTAAAGTTGATTTTCTTTATGCGTTTGAGTTTGTGTTTCTGGTCGATGAGATACTTTAAATACAATGTCGGGCTAGGCTCTCTTGTATTCTAGAAGTAGTGGTAGAAGAAGTGTTAGCCATCCGAGAATCGCATCAAACTAACCCAACCGGTGTGATGATGGGCCCGTCGAATCGCATAGATAAGTATGCCAATACAACTCATCATGGCACGGTAGCACATATTGAGATACTACCATAGACAGGCTACATGACTAGAATTGTGGAAACCATGAATTACTTACAACTTGGTACTGTTCACGACTCGGCGCACAAGTAGGGAAGTTTGAGGGAAGAACAAATAAAAGTTCTTCTTTCTTCCTCGAGGGAATGGATCTCAGACTCAAGAAAGTGTTTGCAGAGTTTGACTTGATAAACGTTGACAGACTTTAATTGTCGAAAGAATTAAGAGTGGAAGAGGGTGTGAGAGGAGATTGATTGTCAATAGCGATAAGTGATTTCGAAGGGGAAAGAAAGTTAAGTAAGTAAGATTTTTCTGAATGGACTAAGGTTAAATAAATGAGTAAGTAGTAGTAGAAGTAGTAATAGGTATGGTAGTGTGTACCCAGCCAGATGTGAATGAGATTCTTATTCTTATTATTATTACCTAGTACTTTTGTTTTGCCTTGACAGAAGACAGAAGCAGAAAGAAGCGGCGGGCAAAATATTTTAGAATCTGAAAGAAGGGTCTCGAAAACGAACAAGGATTGAGAATGTTTTCTTTGGGGGGAAATCAGGAAAATCTGCCCCTCTTGAATATATAGATAGATATGTAGATATTCACTCAATTTATATACCTAGGTAGGTAGCTATATATATGTATAAATGAAGATTATTCATATTGATTTATACTAGATATCTATACTTTGTAATCAATGCTCTATTCAGCTTCCAGTTCGTGTCTCATCTGTATCCATTTCTTTCCACACCATCCTTCACTTTGCTTATTCTAATATAAGGCTACGCTAGACTATATTGAGACTAATCCAGCAATGACATCCGGAAATTCCACATCAACCAATCACCATCAACTGATAATATTTCTTTGGCTCAAACTTCAAAGGTGGGTTTCTTATCGATAAGCTGTTGATAATTCTTCCACATTTTGGCATCGGAACAGATCCCCTAGGTAGCCACGGTAGGGAGATTATCTCGGTTTATGTACAGAATGCCTAGGTATAGAAGACCGTACAGCTGAGGTATGGAATTCACAATTTCATGAATAAAATAAATCGAATTTGTCAGAGAAACATCCCTGATCATTCCATTGCTCATCTCGCACAGTAAAATACATATATATATATATCTAGAAATACCTAGAACCAGAGACTTGTACCCCTCATTCTTCCTTTCACTCCCATCAAACCTCATCAAAACCCATTTACTACTTTGAGTCATGACTTCCCTGACCGATCAAGAAGCCTTTGCAATTGCAGTCGAAGAAGCCAAGATTGGATATGAAGAAGGTGGTGTGCCTGTACGAATCTCCAAGATCATTCCATTGCCAATCTCTGGCCATTTCTAATCAAGATGCCATAAATATCAGATTGGTGCAGCTTTAGTCTCAAGAGATGGGAAGTTGTTGGGCCGGGGCCATAATATGAGAGTCCAGAAAGGAAGTGCTATTCATCATGTGAGACTTGGTATTGTTTGTTGCTTGCCAATGAGGAAATGCTGATGCAACATAGGGAGAGACATCCGCTTTGGAAAATTCAGGTCGCCTCCCTGCCTCGGCTTATAAGGGGTCCACCATGTATACAACGTATGTCACGAGAAAACCTCGCCATCAAACAGAATTTCCATATTCAAGAAGACAAAACTAACTAATCACGGGTAGATTGTCTCCATGTGATATGTGGTATGTTTGATATTCATATGAATGACTCTGGAATATACTAATCACGATGGAAAGTACGGGAGCATGTATTTTGTACGGAATATCACGAGTCGTCGTGGGTGAGAACAATACTTTCCTCGGCGGTGAAGCATATTTGAAGCAAAGAGGAATTGAAGTTGTCAACATGCAAAGCAAGGAGTGCCAGGAATTGATGGAGAAGTTCATCAGTGAGAAGCCAGAATTGTGGTATGTTATACAATCTAATCCTAAAGGACTATCTTTGACTCAATACTTCTCATAGGAACGAAGATATTGGGGTCGAGAGGAGGGTTCACACCAAGGAATGATCAATACCGCTTGCTGATTTGGGTATCACTTGGTTAATCGGTGAATCTCTTGGAAATAGAATTTCAAATCCTCGGGGTTGACGAATGGCGTGATACCTGTGAGAAGAAAATGGATTAGTTGAGAAAAAGCAGTCGAATAGGGAATACCAACCATGACCGAGATTTGCAATCCATCCTTGTTTTCCTCCACCAAAACCATTTACCATTTCCTCGACTACCCGAGTGATTTCGGAACGAGTTCCATATAGAACTCCTGGGTCTGCATTGCCTTGGAAGACAATTGGGCGGTCTCCTCGTATCCGAACGGCCTCCGCGGGGTCTTGTAACCAGTCCAAACCTACTACCTGGTATCCTAAATCACACAAGGAATCTAAGGCATACCAAGCTCCCTTTGCAAATACAACCATTGGGACTTGCTCGAGACCGAGCTCCTTTAAGCGTTTTGGTAGATTTTCCGATATATAGGCAAGATATGGTCGTGAGAACTCCTTGAAAGAAGATGGGGATAATTCCGCAGCCCACGAGTCGAAAACTTGAACCAACTGATATAACCATTAGTTTCGACCAAGTAAAGTCGTGAGCGGCCAATGAACTTACCTGTGCACCAGCTTTTACTTGCAAAGCCAAATACTCTACACACACTTCTGCGATCTTCTGAAGAAGCGCCTTACTTGCTTCTGGATACCTGTAAACCCAAGTCTTGGTCTTCACAAACAACTTGCTTCCTCCACCTTCCACCATGTAACATAACAGGGTCCATGGAGCACCACAAAATCCAAATAATGGTACTCTTCCCTTTAGCTTGTGTCTGGTCAAAGTGATTGCCTTGTAAACATAGTCCAATTCTGCCGCGACATCCACCTTCTTGTTCAAAACTCGCTCATATTGGCCGTCCTCAGGTGACTCCAGAGGTTCGGGAAAATGAGGTCCTTTCTTGTCAACCATCTCTACGGTCATCCCCATAGCTTGAGGAATCACGAGAATATCGGAAAATATAATAGCTGCGTCGACAAGTCCGGCGAAACGTTCAATGGGCTGGAGAGTTAATGTCGATGCGATCTCCGGAGAGCGGCAGCATTCAAAGAAGTCATTCTTTCCTTTTGCTTCGTGGTATTCAGGCAGGTAACGTCCAGCTGTAAGATTTCCAGATGTTAGCTATCTCTATCTCGTAAATTTCATTAACTTCAAACATTGGCCATACCTTGACGCATCACCCACATTGGTGGGCGCTCAACCTTCTGACCTGGACTTCGTTAGCAATCAGCATTCTGAAGATTGAGGAATGATTGCATCTACCCCATGCTGTTCTAAGGATGAGGTCGTTCTGTAATGGTTCAAACTGATGCTCCATGGTGTACTAATTTATATCTCAAACCAGATGAGGGGACTCTTTTGCTGGAAAAACGTCACAAATGTACAAGATACAAACGTCTGAGATTGCGTCAAACAATAAGGTTGACAATAAGTCCAAGGAGAAGTTAGGAAGAAATCTAATTGAAGTATAAGGTTTATATGAACCTTGGTCTATTTATTTTCTTACTATTACTATTGCCTAATTCCCATGGTCCCTTCGGGGTTTCATTTTCACCCCCCAAACGTGAGCTTCGAGATCCACAAAATTAACAGGGACGAGGGAGCTCTGGAAAAACTGTTGATCCGTTGCATTTCAATTATTATTCGCTATGTACGAATTAATGATACCCAAACTCCAATGATAAAGCTTCCGCTGGAGTCATTCTCACTGTACGATATCTTGCGCATGAAGAATATAGAGCATGCCATTCTGCTCCAAAAAGATCTGATTTCAATACCTCACCAATGTCGAATCGCAAAGCATTAACGCGGCTGGCATATTTTTCAACGAGCGATGCTCCCTCGCCCATCGACTTCCTGTCGAAGGCTCAAACATCTCACAACATCCTTTGAATGTGTATGGGTCTCTGAGGAGGATCTTTGCAATGCATTCCAACGCTTCTGCGGTGCCTCGAATACAATACGTCGACATGGAAGCTCAGTGCCTGGCCCGTTGGAAAGCAGAAGAAGATTGGGGAGGAGAAGAATGGCATATGCCACAGAGATGACACAGGGTTCAATGTACGATCCGGGGGCTTTGTGGTGCTCATCATGGGGGCCAGAGAAGATTGAATCGCAGTGGGAGGCTCCAACACCTCGAATCACGGAACAATCAAAGCATCCGCCAGCTTTACCATCTTGGTTGACCAATTGGACTCCTATGCCCGAAGAACCTGCGGACGTTTCTATGGAGCCTGTAATTGCGGAAGACTCGAGCGAGAAAGGCTATGATATCTTGCGACAGGAAAGGCATATCCAAGACCATTTTCACGATTTTGAAATGGCAGTAGAGCTAAATCATCGAGAATCTAATGAGTTGAAAGCGGACTGGAATACGGAAAAGAAGAAGGGTCGGCATCAACAGTTGATTGGACCGAAGAAAGCTTTAAAGCTTTGCATATCGTTTGGTAAAAGACTCCAGCAGAGTCTTACTCTTGGGCTAGTTACTAGCGATCTGCTGTCTAACTCACTTCGAACTGTTACAAATGTTCTCGTGGATATTCATAGCGGCTCTTACTCCAACGCTAAAGGTTGTAGCAGACAAAGTCCCAAGACGGAAGATTTTTTTTGTGGAGGAGATGCTGATGCAGCTAAAAAACTGCTTGCTTTCTATAGACAAGTCTGGGATGGCATTGTGTCTTGTAAAGTTCTCACGCCCGCCGATTTTGATTCGGAAGTCATAGCAGAATATTTGTCGTTGATTGCAGATCTCCCAAGCACCAATGAAACACAACTTCTGGTTTCTGAAATACTTCCTTCGTTATCCGCAGTTCAATTGGGTAGTAATGTAGACAATATTTTGTCTATATTCAATAAGTGGTCATTAAGCTGGCTCCGAAAAATGACTGCTCCAACAAATAGAAACAAATTCTTGACGGAATCAGAGACATCTTTGATATCCTCACAACGAAGTATTAACCACCTCCGAATGCTAATGTGGTCCAATCGAGGCAAGGAAACGCCTGAGCTGTTGAAACGCGTTCGAGAAATCCTAATTCAAGCATCTACGAATCTTTCCACTGCCAGCACAGAATTGTGGTCTGCGGAAAACATGTTTTTGCCTCAAAGGCACTCCATTGATGTGATGAGCCGAACTCTTAACAATTTACCTAACGAGATAACTTCTGTTCTGATCAGATCTCATTCGGGTGTCATCTGTTCTACAACTTTCTGGGACCAGAAGAGTGTATCGGGGCTCAAAGACTACCTTGCTCAATCCCACAGGACACGATTAAATTGGCTTTCTGTGCTTTCCAGATTGAAAAACATCGACAGTTCAATGTTCACAGAGGCATTCAAATTATTGCAGCAACAAGATCTCAGCCCGTTCAATCTGGACACCAAGGAATATACTTTGACATGGCGCCAGATGTCTGAGCTTGTTCTAACTCGTTGGGCTAGTCAGGGCGCTTTAACAAACAGCAGCGTAGTCATCGACACCTTCAAGATCAAGACCCTTCATTCTCCCTCATCCTTTGGGTGGCTTCTGTGGACTTTAAAAGAGTACGGACAGTTGAGCGACGAGAAGATACAAGATCTATTTGGTTTTCTCCGAGATATACAAGCGTTCGGCCACATACACGCAGTGCTAAGGCAGTCAAAAATGTTCAACTTGCGGATAAATTCCAAAGTCCTAGCAGACCTCATCAACACAACGACTCTCGTAGATCTTCAAGCTGCGTATAATATATACATGCAACATTGCATAGGTGAGATCGAGCCTGAGAAGTGTGCGCCTTTGTTTGCTACAATGGTATATCACGGAAGCGAGGGAATCTGGGCCGCATTGGATGCTCCAATATACGCAGCAATGCCAAAGTGGAGACGAAAAGCCCCATCACCAGAGATTCTTTCACAAGCACGAATTCAACTTATACATGAAATGGCAACAGCGTTTGCACATCAAAATATCGAGCATCCCAGACAAGCTCTTCGTAATGTGACACAATGTTGGCACTATCTTCGTGCGCATAAGGTTAAACCGGCGTCGGAAATCTCAAGGGCGATTACACAGGTGGGCATCATTGCGGATGTGAGGAATGAAAAGTGGGGTCGAACAGAAAGAGTGAGATGGGTTCTGGATGTTATTGAAGAGGCGGAAGGCCCAGAGGTTGCGGATGCAGTGAGAAAGGCGGTGGCTAAATGGAGGCAAAAACTAAAAATCAGACTTGAGAAGAAGAAAGAAGGCTATATTGAGTAGTATTTAAAGCTTTGTCAATTCAATAGAGTTATACCCCGGAGTCTATAGACGTCTTACGGTCATTTCGTAGACAATCAACATGTTAAATCAAACTACCCAACAACCTCTTCATACTATATTCCAATGTCATATATTAATATCATTTTCCATTCCAATTATTAACAATGATCTAAGCCTCGTCACCTCTTTGAATGTCACATCTAACCGTCACCATCACACCCAATCCCCAATATCCAAATCATCCCAACCAAAAATGCATATCATGCCATACAAACATCACACTACACTTTCACCCATCCATTCTCTCTTAACCAATCTACCTGTCAGACAAATACCCTAACCTTCTCAGTTCCTTCATCAAACATCTCATCGTACGACCTGGCGCAGTGGTCTACACAACTGACTTACATCCACTGCGTTTTAACCATCTTCGGATGGGTGGGATGTTTGATAGATTACGGACAGAATTGACCCCATTTCGAAGGGTTCTGCTAGTAATAAAATCCTCATATCAGAGAGGGTTTTCCCATGTATAACATGGTTTTTTGCCTTTTTGGTTGTTGGAGGAATAGAGTTTTTGTGGGGGGGGGGGGGTGAGTGAATCTCGCGAGTGATGATGACTTTGTTTTGGAGGAGGGAAATTTTGTGCTTTTGTGTTTTTGTGGGGAGGAGGAGAGTGAATCTATGGAATAGGAATTTTGATGTCAGTCGGAGGATGGTAGATTATTGTTATTGTTTTTGGCCGAATTGTGTATGACGTCAAGATATGGTTTGTGTATTTTTTCCATTCAATTGATCAGTAAGCTAGCTAACAAACATGCGTGAACTTATTCCTCATCCTCCATTTTTCTCAAATTTCCAATATTATACAAGAGACCACCCAACTTATTCTTCTTCTCCGCATCCAAAATCCCCTCGCTATCTTGCGATACAAATCCTTCCAATTGCACATTAACGAATTTCTCATTTTCGTATTTGAAGAATTGTAGAGGACTTGCGACGGGTGAGTTGTCGTCCTTTACGGCGATGATGGAACCGGATTCGTGGATGTTGTCGATGGAGATTATGAGGGAGAATGGAGATGATGGGGTAGGATTGCTGAGGGTGCAAGAGAGCGCATTGCCTGGTAGGGTGATGGTTTGGGTATGTACGAGTTGGTTAGAAGGCGTGAGAGTATGAACGAAGGCGGCAGGGACACTGGGACTTTGTTAGCTTGAGTTCAGTTTGGGCTCTTGGTGGGTAGGATGATGAAACTTGCCCTTCAGATGTAACTACGATGATATCTCGATCAGATGTTTCGTCTTTGACGTGATAAATACCCGTTACTGCAACCTTCTTAGACTCGGTCTCGGGTTCGTCTTTGGTGGTTTCTGAACCAAATGCTTCAATTTGAGACTTGAGATTTACTTTCGATAGTAAAGATCCATCGAGCCAGTTCCAGACGTGTAGGTCGTCGTCTCCACCACCAGAAATAAGAATTTCTGGTTTTGTAGAAGGGATACATAAACGACTAACATATTCAACGTGTCCGAGACAGAATCCCTCAATGACGTGCGATTGAGGAATTCCACGATTAACACGAATATGCTCATCACGATCAGCTGTAAGAATGTAGTGGCGACCTGACACGGAAGCCGTCACGATATCCGTTAACATTGAAACATGTCCAAGTAGAAGTTTGTGCTCAAAATCTGGACCAGTTTTCTCGGACACTTTGTTGGTCTGTTTCTTTTGAGCCTCAAGAGCTTTTAAGTTGCGTACGGAATGCACTGTCAAGGCACTGGCTGAAGGCTGGAACTTCTTTGGGGCTTGCTTTTCAGTAGAAACATCTTCTTTAGCGGATGGAACTGAAGGAGACGGGATGAGAGGAAGAGAAAACACATCTCCAAATTTATCGGCGCTGATTATGGTACTACAGTCATCGGTAGTGGCAAGAGCACAAGGCCGTTTAGGCATAGTGCTAAAATCGTCAGTCAGAGTCACGTTTTGAAAGCAGACAGTCCCTACCGATCACTAATCTGTTTTAATCCTTTGCCTACTGTATCGTCCCATGCCAACACTCTGATAGTTTTGTCCTCGCCAGTAACTGCAATCACGTGCTGGAGGTCTTTTGTGATATTTAAAGCAGTAATGGGTGAAGGTTCAACAGTCTTTGGTGGTGTATTCTTCGCCTTTTTCTTCAATTGCTGTACGACAAAAATCTTCTCTTCCTTTTCCTCGCTAATGGACAACTTCCGTCTCTTTGCTGGCGGGGTTGGCGATTCCAATGGGGCATCTGGAGTAGATGTTTCTGGGTTCTGCTCCTCACTTTTGGTTTGCGTCTCTTCTCCAGTTGTCTTCAATGCATTCGTACTTTCTGGCACTGGAGACTTCCACGTTGAAAGGTATGAACCATCTTTAATATCAAAGGTATCTATGCTTGAGCCTCGAGCTGCTACGAGATAGTTACCACATTGTTTGAGGCATTGGTATGGTGTTCTGAGTTTCGACATCTTTTTTGATAGACTGACTTGGCCTCCCGATCAAGTAAATAGGTTATAAACGGAAAAACAATTTTGTCCTTGAAGTGGCTATTCGTATATCAAAATACCAATGAATACCCAAAAAAATACAAAATATTTATCCAGATATCTCGAATTTATTTACCAACAAGGGTCTGAGCTTCTCAACCAATCAAAATATATTTTCGCATGCCAGATTGCGCTAAGCACTAGCGGCTCCCACATTCTAGCAATTCGTCAAACTCATCAAATGGATCTTTTTTTCGAATTTTGATTTACTTCGCGACAATCACAATTCTTCCACGAAGAACAAATCCTCAACTCCAACATAATAAATTTGTCCTTAAATCACCTAACTTCACAAATAAGAAGATATGGGGGGCAAATCCGAAAACAAGGCCGGCTACTTCGATAAGCTCAAGGGCTTACTCGAGGAGTACAAGTCCATCTTCATCGTCACCGTCGACAATGTCAGCTCTCAACAAATGCACGAGATCCGTGGATCTCTCCGTGGTGAGGGTGTTGTCTTGATGGGAAAGAACACCATGGTACGTTTACTCGGGATCGATGGATTCTGCTATTGTTGGCGCGCTCGGAAAACTAATTTTTGTGATTGAATAGGTCCGCCGTGCCGTCAAGGGCTTCGTTGGCGACAACCCAGAATACGAGCGTCTCCTTCCTTTCGTCAAGGGTAACGTCGGTTTCGTTTTCACCAACCAAGACCTCAAGACCATCCGTGACAAGATTCTCGACAACAAGGTCGCTGCTCCAGCCAGAGCTGGTGCCGTTGCCCCAGCTGATGTCTACGTCCCAGCCGGTAACACCGGTATGGAACCAGGAAAGACCTCTTTCTTCCAAGCTCTCGGTGTCCCAACCAAGATTGCCCGTGGTACCATTGAAATTACCGCAGACTTGAAGCTCGTTGAGGCTGGTTCCAAGGTCGGAGCTTCCGAGGCTACCCTTCTCAACATGTTGAACATCTCTCCGTTCACATACGGTATGGGTATCTCCCAAGTTTACGATGCTGGTAACACTTTCCCACCAAGTGTTCTCGACATCGAGGAGTCCCAACTTCTCAAGGCTTTCAGCAGTGCTATCACCACCATCGCTGCTATCTCCTTGGCTGCCAACTTCCCAACCCTTCCATCTGTTATGCACTCTGTTGTCAACAGCTACAAGAAGGTTTTGGCCGTTGCCATCTCAACCGACTACAGCTGGTCTGAGATTGATGAGTTGAAGGACCGAATTGCCAACCCAGAGGCCTACGCCAGTGCCGGACCTGCCGCTACTGAGGCTGCCCCAGCTGCTGCTGCTGCTGAGGAGGCTAAGAAGGAGGAGTCCGAGGCTGAGGAGTCCGCTGATGAGGGATTCGGAGGAATGTTCGACTAAATTCGTCAATGATATATCTGAAATGAACTCACTGTATGTCTGAAAGGATATATAAAGAAACATCAAGATTATCTAGTTGTCATCCAAGTATCTTGACTCTGGAAAAATGAAAAAACTTAACAAGCCCAAGCATGTGTATCGTGGTATGACAATGAAATGTGATGTGAACATCACAAATATATCAACTCCAAAAGGTTCGTCGCTATTTCTTCATATACCCTATAATTTTTTCGAGCTTTGTGATGAATAAATCATAGCTTTTTAACCCCGAGTGCATGCGCACATTGAAGATTAAAAACAACAACACTCTAATTTTTTCCTGAATGCTTTCAATATTTATCATTATTTTATACAAATACTTGTGGTCGTGATCAATTACTGACTATCTATTCAGGATTTACATCTTTTTCCAATATCTGCCTAGCAACCTCAATGGCTTCCCTCGGCAATCCAGCCAATTTAGCAACCTTGAGAGCGTGACTCTGTCTGTTGATACCCTCCTTCAATCTATACCTATATCTAAATGCTCCATCTGTGTTCCCATCCTCTTCCACATCCGTACAATAGAAGCCCACCGCGTCCATATTGTTCATTTCTATCAAATCCACCAATGCGTGGAAATGTGTCGCGAATAATGCCCTGCATTTATTTACATGGTAAAGATGGTGCAAACATGCAAAGGCTACGGCCACACCGTCAGTTGGTGTTGTTCCTCTACCAATTTCGTCCATGATGACGAATGATCGTGAAGTCGCATTTTTGAGGATCATCGCACTCTCCAACATCTCCACCATGAATGTCGATTGATCTCGGTAGAGATTATCTGCAGACCCAACACGACTGAAAATATGATCTACAATCCCCATCTCTGCGTATTCAGCAGGTACATATGATCCGACTTGTGCAAGAACCGTAATCAATGCATTTTGACGCAGAAAAGTACTTTTGCCAGCCATATTTGGTCCTGTGACTAACCATGCTTTATGAACGTCTCCCACCAGACAATCATTGGAAATAAAACTTCGACCTTCTTCCTCTAATCCAGTCTCAACAGTAGGGTGTCTCCCGCCAATAATTTTGTGCGCAGAACTCGTATTGAGGATAGGACGAGTCCAACCTCTTCCATTCGCCAATGTAGCAAATGAACACGCGATATCAATTTCATCCAGTACAGCCGCATTACGTCGAAGTTTCACGAGATTGGTAATAGCCAGTTCGCGAAGTTTGTAAAACAATCGCTGTTCTTCGGCTCGAATGTGGATGCGACATTGATCGATTTCTTGACCCAGGAATGACCATTCGGGATGGTGAAGAGAACGGGTACTTTTGCTTGAGCTAATGGTGCGGGCTTCGGGCATGTCCAGACTTATATCTCTCCCTTTAACGTGGCAGATGTGACCGAGACCGGGGGTGAAGCGAAGGGTGAGACTTGTTGCGCCGAGACGGTCGCAGAGAGAAGCTGCCAGGGCGGTCTTTTGATTTGCTAGAGAAGATAATTCTGTGTGGAGACGTTTGAGGGCTGGCGTGGCGCTTGGTTTCATGATCCAGGCTTCACTTTCCTGGTTGTAATATTCGCGAAGGCTGGTAGGTTTCTTGCGGTTGCTCTTCCGAAGGATGGATGTTTCTTCTGTGTTTCCTTCCGAGGCGACGATTGCTTCGGCCAATGCTTGCATCTCTCCACTCTCGCCTTCTTCAATACGATGTTGCTGAACTAGACCTTCTTCGTCAATGGCTTCTGTGATTGCTTGGGCGAGTTCCATTGGGTCTTTGAGGTGAATACGAGTAAGTAGTTCTTGTATGCAAGGCTTGGGCGTCGCATTATGAACTTCGAGTGCGAATGCCAAATCTCGAGTGGCATGTATCGTGCTTGCTAAATCTAAAAGATCATCGCCATCTCCTCTACCAAACGCAAACTTTTGCAGTAGACGATGGGAATCATGGCTGCGTTTCAGGAGAGTGGTTACTCGGTCTCGAAGATTCTCATTTTCAAGCATGTATGTCACGAGATCGAGCCGAGAGTTTATCACATCCAGAGATGTTGAAGGTGATGCTATCCTTTTCGTCAGCCTTTGACGAACACCAAATTATTGAGAGAAACAAAATTTACCGAGCCAATTCTCCAACAGTCTTGCACCTCCTTTTGTGACTGTACGTCGGATTGTGTGTAACAAACTACCACTGAAGACGTCTTCCTTGATGGTCTTCTTGATCTCTAGAGCTCTCATAGTATTCTTGTCGATTCCCATGACATTCAGCTGGCGTACAGGAGGTTGAAGTTTCATGTTCGTACTTTGTAATCTTGTTTCAACATAATGAAGTAAGCAACTGCCAGCCGATATCTCTTCCTCCGTGAAGGTGTCTATCGAGAATGGTGAAACTGCCGATTCTAGCATGGGGGTCCACTCGGATATAGGCTTCACCTCTGAAAGCGATGCGTAAGTGATCATATGGTGTTCGTCGGTCAGAATGGTAAATATTTCGTGACTTTTCATAGATTGCATCTCTTCATTCAATACAATTTCGCGTGGAGCTATACGGGCCAGGAAGGAAGGAAGTTGTGAAAGCGATGACTTTTGGGTGAAGAAATGACCAGTTGATAGATCCAGCCAAGCCAAACCGATTGATTTATGATGCCTCTCATATTCAATAGCATCAATTGTATCACCGTGCTGAATGTGTATTGCCAGTACATAGTTGTTCGAAAGAGGGTCCATGAAACCTTCATCAATGAGAGTACCAGGTGTAACAACACGTGAGACTCTTCGATCATGCATCAGCCCTCCAGATTTTACCTTGTCCGAAATATCATTTGGAAATTCTTCCGATATAGCAACATATCGATTTAAATCTTGAACAAGTATCTTCAAATAACGATCAAGTTGATGAAAAGGAAACCCAGCCTATCTAGCGTTATTACATAATAAGAAGACATCATGATGAAGACTTACCATCGACACAGGTCCAGCGTTTGTTTTCTTGTGGGAAACCTTAAGACCCAGAAGCGGGCCAAATTCATCGGCATGCTCAAAATATAATTCGTAGAACCCTCCAACACGTGTTATAACCACACAGTTCTCAAACTTGAGCATATTGTTCCTGGCCTGCATGATCACGGTTGGATATGGTGGTGGTTCATTCTCAATTTCCAATGGCTCCAGCGGAAGTAATCCTTGGGGAAGTTCTACTTCACCTGATGTCTTGGCTTTTTTGGAACTTTTCTCGCCTGTTGACGAAGATGGAGTAACCTGTGATTCTTGTATCTCTGAGGATTCGGGGTCAAGAATAATCAAACCTTGGGGCAAACCCTCTATGCGCCTGGTTCTCCTTGATGGCTTTGCTTTCTTTGTGTCATCTTCAACAGAGTCTGAAGTTGCGGATAGTCGCCGTTCTTCAGATTCAGCTGTGGCTGGCACAGTCTCTTGAAGTAAATCCTGGACATCTTCAAAAAATTCCAAGGAAACTCTTTCTAGAGATGTATCCTTAATAAGTGATTGCTCCAAATCCAAAGGTTCCAAGGGCCTCAAATCTAGGCCATGAGGAAGATCATTGAAATTAAAAGTAGATTTCGTTTTCTTTCCTCGATGAAAAAGTTGAGGTCTGAAATAAATGACATTATTGCGAGTAGATGATGACAGAGTGAAACGAGACGAAAAACTGGCAATGCATCTTCTAGTACTTAAGGAAGGGAATGGAACAATAGCATTGTAGCTGCGAAAGGTCCTCGCATTAAAGAATGATATGTGCATTGGGGGATTTTCGAAAATTCGACATTCCAATTGATATGTAATAAGTGAAGTACGTTAACCAAATTGAGAAAGCGTGATGAGGGTGAGAAACGTGAGGGGGTCAATGCAGCGGGATTACCTAAGCCTTGGACAGGTCTTGGCAGACGCAAACGGGGAAAACTCTCAGTATCATACTACCCCAGGTAATGAGGTATTTGTAAAGAGAGGAAGAAGCTTTAACATCCATCGGTAATCTACTCGAGTACCTGGAGACTTTTTACCAATTGCTTACTTGAAGCTATGGTAATGTTTTCATAATTGACAACCAATCTAATTAATCTAATTCTCCTTGTCTGCTTTTCTATATGCCAAATTTGATTAACCAACCACTTATTAAAGCATCTGTAATCAACTCACTAATGCGTTTATGGAAATCTCAATATATTCCGAGGTGCAATTACCTCATGGAACCCTAGTAATGCATCAGATACTCGTACTTGGTAGCTATCTCTAACCCCTCAATTGCCTCTTTGACTTTCCCCAACCGAAAGTCAATATTGATGATGAATGAATGAATGAAGGGATGTATGAATGCATATAAGAAGGGAGAGACTTTCCCATCTATTCGAGTCTTTTCTTTATTCCTCATCATTCAATCTTCAAGCTTCTCTCCGTCCAAGTCTCTCTCATACTCATACTCGCACTGTTCATATCAATCTTCCTTCTCTCAATTAATTCTCTATCAAACCTCTCATCATGGCTCCTAAAGTAGCTATCGTTTTCGTAAGTACTTCTCTATGTCCCCGTTATTGTACAGAACGAAAAGACTAGACTCCTCGAGTTCTCTTCATGTTCTGTTGGTTCAATCTTATCCAGCCATTCGTATAAAATGTTCACACGCTACATTCCACATGAACCCATGGTTGATAGTCTTTCAAATTCCTTCCACCTGAGCAAATACCATGATACTAATCACCGTGCCTCCCACAGTACTCCATGTATGGCCACATTCAAAAGCTTGCCGAGGCCGAACAAGCAGGTCTCAGGAAAGCCGGAATTGAAGCCGATCTCTTCCAGTAAGTTTCAAACTATCATGTTCGAAAGAAATCTAAAACCCTCAATACTAATTCACCAAATAGAGTCCCAGAGACTCTTCCTCAAGAGGTCTTGGCTAAGATGCACGCTCCTGCAAAATCCGACATTCCAGTCATCGACCCAAAGACTCTTGCAAACTATGTAAGTCTTGCCAATCCACTTTGAACCATAAAACCATAC